CAGGAGGGTGACTATATTTAAACAACCAACCAAACAAGAAAACAAAACATTACAATGTCAGTGAGAATGTGCACAAATGAGAACACTCCTACTGCTAATGGGAACCTACAATGGATCAGCCGCTGTGTTTAGCAGTTTCTCAAAAAGTTACACATACGATCACCATACAACCCAGCAGTTCTACTCCTAGTATATACCTGTTTTGGTTCCCTAGTGCTGCTCTGACAAGAATATGCCACCAGTGGGACAGCCTTAACAAACAGGAGTTTATTCTCTCACAGTTCAGGAGGCTAGAAGTCCAAGTTCAAAGTGCCAGGCTCTAGAGGCTCTAGCCCCTCGACCCTTGGGCTTCAGCTCTGCCTGTTGCTCCCGGACCACTGAAGCTAGAGGCATCTCTCCACTCAGGCAGCTACTGAGGCTGACAAACCCAAGGTCGACAAGTGAAAAGGCACAGTCACGATGTTACCAAACCACATGGCAGGCCATTAATTCAAGTCCATTGAAAGTCCCAAGGTCGGCAGAGCATGGCAGGCTGCTGAATAATCACATGGCTACATGCAGGGTTCAGGCGTGCCATAAGCTAGAGACCGTTCCCCAAGGCTTCTCCTTATATAAAGGAAGCAGATCACAGCCCTAAAGCAGCTACTCAGCTGCTCAAAGTAGTTCCCACCATGGAGCTGATTACTGGTCTCATCATGGGGAATACTACATCCAGCTGCCCAGCCACTCAACCAGGCCCAGCCAAGTTGACACACAAACTGAACTACCACAATACCCAAAAGAATTGAAAGTAGGTACTCAAACAAATACATGTACACAGATATTCACAATAGCCAAACAGTGGAAACAACCCTAATGCCCATTCCACAGATGAATGGATAAACAAAATGTTGTGGATACACACAATTGAATATCTTCAGCTATGAAAATGAAATAGTGATATATCGATGAACGTCCAAAACATCTGACTAAGGGAAAGAAGCCAGATACAAAAGGGCACATATTGCATGATCCCATTTACATGGAATGTCCCAAAGACGTGAATCTATACAGACAGAAAGCAAATTGGCGGTTGCCAGGGGTTGGGGGATAGGTAATGGTGAGTGACGGTCTAATGGGTACAGAGTTTTCTTTAGAGGTGATGACTATGTTTTGGAACAAGATGAAAGTGGGGGTTGGACAACATTGTAAACATACTAAATACCACTGTGTCATACAGTTTAAAATAGTTCATTTTTGTATTTTCACCACAAATAAACTAAATATTTTTTAAGAACTACCTAAGAAATGTTTAGTTTTCCAAACTATGGTACATACACAAAATGGAATACTATACAACCTTAAAGAATAATGCAGAATCTGCAAAACACCACCTAATGTGGATGAACTTGGAGGACATTATGCTCAGTGAAATAAGTCAATTACAGAAAGACAATATTGTATTAGTCCGTTATTGTAAAAGTCGAAGAAAAGTTTATGTATGGGAGGAAATTTTCTTTGTTGGTTACCAGGGGTCGGAGGGGAGGGGAGGGAACACTGTTAGATAGGTAGAGACAAGTATTGATTTGGGTGAAGAGAAGGGCAATGTACCAAATGTGAGTGATCAACATGGTGGCATTGAGGAAGAGGAAGACATAGAGAGGTAC